CGTGGAAATGTCGCCACAATAACAGACCGGTGTGTAAAACTCTCGGACGTATTTTAAAGATTATGTGCCGCTAACTTTAAATATTTCACATACGTTTGAAAACCCAGCGTTTAGTTGATCCTGATAAGCGCTCGTCGTCACAGTTGTAAACACGATGGCTTTCTTCTTTCATGAGTGGGTTTGCCGTTAACGTCATCTTGGTTTCTAGGCGGAACGTTATAGAACGCGACACACACATCTCCCGGAAATCCTGTATGATTCAACCAATCCGATGACGACTTCGAAACTCATGAAGTGTTTCCACTTTTGTGTGCCATATGCATCAGACGTTTAGCCAATGTTCCGTGGGCGTGACGTTTGAGCCTGAGACTAGACTCACTCTAAAATCAAACTGTTAAAGGGATAGTTCACCCAAAAATGAAAATTCTGTCATTAACAATTCGTCTCCTCCGCATCACCCTGGTGCCATTTTGGAGAATATCTGCTGGACGTAAACGTTCGTATGCTGTACTGTGTCAGCTGCGTCACGCCGGATCGGTTTCCTACGTTGTTGTGATTTGATCTGAACGGAAACAGTGTATCCGTATGATGCAGCTGACACAGAACAGCATATGAACGTTTATGTCCAGCGGAGATTCTCCAAAATGGCACCAGGGTGATGCGGAGGAGACTAATTGTTGAATAAAGTCTTTTTTTTGTTTGAAACGACATGAGGGTGAGTAATTAATGACAGAATTTTCATTTTTGGGTGAACTAACCCTTTAAGTGAGTTCGAGACTGTTTTGTAAATCATTTTGAGACTGACTCATTAAAAGATTCGGTTCATAAGAGTCATTTGTTCGCAAATCTGAAAATACTGTTGCTCGATATCGACGTCTCGTGTGAACGCGCATAATCTGACTGAATTTAAAATTACTGCCTCATTTTTATTTTATGTTGCATTTCCGGTCATTTTTGTGAGGATATTGAAGACTTGATGTTGAAAAAGTGCTAGAAGCAATCTGAAATGGCTCATGGCTGGAATGGGGACAGGCAGGGGTGAGTTAAACAGCACAGCGAATCATGTTGTGCTAACTGTACACTTTACACAATCTCCTATCTGTTCTATAGCATTTTGAAGAAGCTGCTTTAAACTCTACATGACCACAGACACCATTTCTGAGACAATTGTCAGCTAAAGCGAGGTAATACATGATTAGGTGCGATTTTGTTGTCAGGTGAGGCTGTTCCAGGCAGCACTTTTAAAACAGCTTTTGTCCTAGGTACACTTGCACATAGTTTTTCAGGTAGCTTTGCAGGTAGGTTTCTTCAAGTTTTTTGTAGACGTTGCCACAGTTCTTCTGGAGTTAGTCGGTCTCAGTTTTTTTCTGATTCATCATGTAGGCTAATCCTAGACAGACTGGATGATGGTGAGATCAGATCTCTGTGTTGAGGACTGGCTGTTGTCAGACTCATTATTACAAATAA